ACAGGGTTTCCCAAGAGGGCTGCAATCACCACATGCCACTTCTCTACTTATCCCCATCGTTCCCAATCAGCTGCCTGGCACAACATCCACATGTTCTCACAGCTCAGTCGGAGCCACCTGCAACAGGAGAGCGTGAGGAGCAGGTGCCACAGCAGGCTCAGCCTCAGGGATCTGGTCCTTCCCCAGTGCAGGGCACAGGAACCAGCCTCACCCTCTGCTTTCGGATGGGCATCACCACTAAAACCATACTGCATGGCCAAGGTGTGCTCGCCATGATGTACAACAGCTGCAGGTCAAGCTCTCAATTGCTTTCCGCACCCCTCATTCCTTCATTCCCTCCCCTTTGCCCACGTTAAATCTGCTAACTCCCTAACACATTCCACATTCCTCATGTGCTTCTGGAGCACGTATCATCAGCCTGAAGCTGTGGCATAACCACCCGCTGGCCTCCCAGGCCAGGAATCACAACCGCTCTATCCATCGCCCACATAATCCCATCACTACCATCATCTTTTTAGAGACATCCTGAAAGAGATCAACAGGATGAACACCACAGGCAGAGGCACAAAGCCAGCACTGCTGGGCAGAACACTTGCAAACGCCATCCTAGGATCCAAGAACCAAGGGAAGGGTTTGAAGCTGTGGATTGAAGCGAGCAAAGGAGATGGGCTCCATGTGCTGGCAAGGCAAGAGCATCCAGTTGTTAACACGGCCATTGTGCAGAGAAGCAGACAGGGCAGCTTGCATGTGGGCCAGCTTTTATAAAGATGGAATCATAACATCCCAGCCTGGTTGGTGTTGGAAGGGACCTTAAAGCTCCCCCAGCTCCAACCCCTGCCACGGGCAGGGACACCTTCCACTAGAGCAGCTTGCTCCAAGCCCCATCCAGCCTGGCCTTGAACACTGCCAGGGATGGGGCATTTCAATTGAGCCTAAAAAAACCACCCTACACAATGACGTTTTTATTACAACACCAGTGTATTCAACACGACTTTAAAACCAACTAATGGACACTCAGGATTCATCAACGTGTAGCCACTTCTCTCTAATCCCAGTAAAAATGCACGTAGAGATTTGGTTACAGTTTTAAGACCAAACCAGTAGCACAGAGAAAACTACACAAAGACACTTGCATCCTCCAACCAATCATCATGAATCCAGAGAACTCCAGGTCAGAATTACCTTTAAATACAGACATACCTAAAATATTGAGGCACACAGCTGGGTGCTCAACAGCCTTAGCATGGCCTGTATCCATGCCACATGCACCCCCGTGGTCCCAGGGAATGTCTGTTAGCAGCCACCATCTCCAGACCAAGTAACTGGGGGAGGAATACAACAAATCTCCTCCTCTACTTCTCATCCACAAGATCTTTTCTTTCTAAGGCCTGATCCTGTGCTACCAAAAACTTCTATGCTGGAGAATAGAGTGGTAGCTGCACATACCCACATGCTATTTTGGCATCCCTGCCCGAGCTATTTGCAGGCATGAGAGGCCACGCTGAACAAGGAGAGACCACATGTGGGATGTGACACTCCACACATGAGTAGTTCTCACTCAGCTCTGACCTGCAGGGACAGAACTGAAGCAAGAGAAACCTTTCAAACCCTAGATCTCATTTTGAAAGATGCGGTTGTCTACGGAGCTGCTGCTAACCCATGCCCTGAAGTGCTTCATCTTCTCCAGCTGATGGGCAGAACTGCACTCCTACCAAACTCAGAGGGGCATTTCCCTGCTCATTGCAGGGGAGTCAGAACTAGATGTCCTTTGAAGGTCCCTTCCACCCCAGACCATTCTATGATTCTATTGTGCACATCATCGTGCAACATTTTGCCTTGTTCTTTCAGTGTACTCATGTAACCAAGCTGATTTCCTGCTGCTGTGGGAAACTATTCTTTATACAAACCTTTCATTATACTCAGAAATGGCACAGACACCAACATGTGTCAGTGAGAAGAGCAAACATCCCCGCGTAAAAAAGGCAGAGCTGAAACATCAACCCATTCAAACTCGTCCTGGATCACCACGGATTAAACATCAGCTTTGACAGCGCATCCAAGCGATGCTAAAATAGCCCCAAAAGCTGGTCTGCCTCCATCTCTGCAAAAGGCACGCTGAGTATTTTGGCCATCCTGACAAACTTGATCCGATAATGGCTTTTGGAAGGGTTATTCTTGGACCCCTGTGGAGCAGCATTAACTGCGCTTACCCTGGATGCTTCTGAGGCACCATCCTAAGTGACCTCCTCCACATGCCGCACATATTTCAGCCATTAAGCTAGATAATAAAACCACATACCGGATATCAGCAAGTGTTAATAAGATGTAATTCATTCCTGGCAAGGCCAGGATCGAGCTCTTTAAAAAGAAACACCACCAGAACCAAAACACACACGCAGGTTCACAGGGCCAAAGTCCAAGAGGAGTTCAAACGCACAGAGCTACTTTTATCTGCGCAATTCAGACCGATATTTGGAACGCAGGATTTTCCCCCAGAACCATAGGTAATAAAAGTCAGAAAGGAGTCAATGGGAGCTCATCATTCCTGCTAGGACGCTGTAAGGTCTCCCTGTGTGCTGTGAGATGCCTCAGGTCCGGCTGACCCTGGGACCATCTCACTTGACTTCATCCCACCGCAGCCTTCCTGTCCCGGAGAGGGGCCGGCGAGCTCCCTGCATCCTTGACTGCTGGCCAGAAACACAAGCACAGCTCCGAGACAGATCCTTCTGATTATCACAAAATGAAATTTTCAGCTCTTGTCATCATCGGCCTCAGATTTGCAACGTTACAAAAACATGATTTCCTTTCCCCATTGTATCAGCCCCTCTGCCATTCCCGCTGGTGAAATCAAACAATTTGAGAAGAATTTATATGATGCTAATTTAAACCGAATGTATTCAGCTGCCAATCGCAGTTCCCTGACTCTCCCAGGCCTCCTGCCAGCTCCGCTCTGTTCCAGAGCAACTATCAATCACGGCCAACACACTGAGGAGAAAAAGACCCAGCCATGCAAGACTGTCTGCACAGCGACGTGGAGTGACCCCACGCAACGGGAGGCTCCGAAAGCTTCAGCTCCTCAGTGTACAGCAGCTCGAGATGCTTTGGGCAGGAATAAACCTACAACGCTGCTCAAATTCCAGCAGCACTTCCAAAGCGGCTTTTGCAACTGGAAGTGGCAAGGTGACCTTCCTCCCTAGGTTGTATGGGAACAGTACATCCACATTGATGGAAAGTTATCGAGTCCACCGGCGGAGATAACTCTGTCCCCACAAAGGGGGAAGGAAACCCCTTCTAGACCCTGCACCTTGCAGCAGAAAATGCACAGGATCATAGAATTGTAGAACGGGTCGGAAGGGACCTTAAAGCTCCTCCAGCTCCAACCCCTGACACAGGCAGGGACCCCTTCCACTGGAGCAGCTTGCTCCAAGCCCCTGTGTCCAACCTGGCCTTGAACACTGCCAGGGATGGGGCAGCCACAGCTTCTCTGGGCACCCTGTGCCAGCGCCTCAGCACCCTCACAAGGAAGAGTTTCCACCTAATGTCTAATCCCAGCCAAGATGTTGGGAGGTTTCATCCCAGCAGCATGATGACAAGACTGGAAACTGTAAGAGGAGGACACCGCATCTACATCCTCTTATATCTAACTGGTAAATATCCTTAAGTGGGTATAAAGAAGTTATTTGTTTAGTAATGTACTGGGCAATAAAAGGCAAAGGAAACTCCTGCTCCCTTCCAGCCACAAGAACCAAGGAAGACTCTTGAGAAGGTTGGGCTGCCAATAATGAACAAAATGGAGTGGGTTTTGTGAACAGGTGCTGTTGTAGAAGCTATTGTATTGGAGAAACTCAGCACAACATGCCTGCAGCCATCACAGACATATCCACCATGGATGTCTGGCTCTACAATGGGATGCACAGGTCACAACGTGGTTTCTGCAGATTCAGAAACACTTGTTTGATCCAACACAACAATGAACAAAACACTGTACTGAACTCCCAGATGCAGAATGGCATCTCCCCACAGCTCTACTGCACACTGCAAAAGCTTGGTTTGTCTTAAAACACTACAGAGAAGCTGAGAAAAGACAGTAAAGCATGGGATATACTGGAAATTAAATCAATTAATAGCAATCCTCAAGCCACACCATCTTACAGGAAGGATAGTGTTTAAAACTCAACTTGCCTCTACCTCGAACCATAAACCCAACAGCACAAGCTCATCACCTTGTGAGAAACCACATCAAGAGTCCTTCCCATAACTCAACAAGTCCAATCCATGCATCACTATCAGAGCAGGCAGTTTACTGCTCATGAGAGGTAACATTTCACTACCAGTGGATCTGAATTTCAAAGTAGCAACGTTCTGCTTAAGAGCCTCTGTGAGCAATCTCCTGGCTGTGACAAGAAAAACTCCATTGAAATTCAAATCTAGAATATTAAAGAGTGGGAAAAGGCAATTCTGGTTTAATACATGCACGGGAATGTTCAGTTCCATCAGGGTCACCTTTTACAGACCCCAACTGCTAGGCAAAATGCAAAGCAAGCCATAAGGGAAGTTCACCCAGTACTTGAAAACCAGTTGAAGATGCAAAAGCAATCAAGTTGATATCAGTGCATGAACTCCTGTTGCTTTACCCTGCACCTGGGAAACCAACACTGGTGTCTCCAGGTGCTCCAGACACAGCAGCACAAATGCCCCTATCCTGATGAGCTGCACAGCCTGATTGCGCATCCCAGGCTCTGGAGCACCGGGATTCAGCAGCAAAATACAGGTGGGAGAAGGCAACAGAAATGGTCCATCGTTTTTCAACAGTATATAGATCAGGAGATAAAACCTCTAGTAGCAACCACGGAATGAAGAATTGTGGCTTCACCTATAACAAAATCACTTCAATATTTAAAACTAAGTTTAGTGCCTTGGGATTGGAAAAGAAGAACTGAGTTTACTATGATCTCCCCTCCCCAGAACGCCTCCATCACGTGCGCACGCACAAGTCCTACCTGTTTCATGGCCGTCTCTCCTATCTTGTCCGAGTGCTTACGGATACTCTCCAGGAAATCCTTGAGGTCTGACATGGAAACTTCCTTGATCTCTTCCCGCAGCTTTGGGATATTATCCACCATGATCTTGCAGAAGCGGTAGTGGCTCACTTGGGGCAGGTAGGTGTGCTCGAGGTGCTCCAGGGTCTTGAGCGCAGGGTAGTGCCTGGGGAGAGCAAGCAAGGCAGATGTGGAAGGAAGAACGGCTATTTCCATCCCGTTTCCCCTCCAAAACATTTGCATCCCTTCCAGTCATTTGCTATATCCAAGAATCTCAGCTCTCCTCAAAGAACACAGACCTTAAGATCAAGGGGGCTAACCACAAAAACACCATCTTCTTCTGGAAACAGAGAGACAGAAGAACACAAATGCACAGCAGCTCCTTACCAGAGCTCTGATGGGCAAATGAGGACCAGCTGGGTAACAAGCAACCAGCATCACCTGAGCCCAGCAGCAGCTTTCACCCACAGCAAAGCCAGCTGGGGCTCCATGTTACAGAGTGAAGGAAAAGCTGCCAACCACATGCAGTATGGTCAGGTTATGTGAGGAAAAACCTCATGGACGAGCACATGGAGGAGCACAGAGGAACAATGGCTCAGAGGGGGACCCCAGGAAGACCCCACACTGGTCCCGCCAGGAGAGCCATGAGCTCTGCCAAAGGGGAGACTGAGATGAGCTCTGAGGCAGAAGCTCTTCCCTGGGAGGGTGCTGAGGCGCTGGCACAGGGTGCCCAGAGAAGCTGTGGCTGCCCCATCCCTGGCAGTGTTCAGGGCCAGGTTGGACACAGGGGCTTGGAGCAAGCTTCTCTAGTGGAAGGGGTCCCTGCTCGTGGCAGGGGTTGGAGCTGGAGGAGCTTTAAGGTCCATTCCCACCCAAACCATGCCCTGATGCCGTGATGCCTATTACCAGCCACCCAGAAGAGCCACGTTTGTGCCAGCTCTGTGCCCCAAGGACGCTGCACCTATGAAACAGGATGGCTCTTGGGTTTTTTCCCCGTGGAAATACCTAGGCTCTGCTTGGGTGGCAGAGCTCTACTCGAGCTACACCCTGTTACACACAGGATGAAGCATTCTCCTTCCTTACTGCTTGGAGACTGTATGGATAGAAGTGAGCTGGGGTAAAAAAGTCTGATCCCACCAGAGTCCTGCAGAACCAAGAGGGTTTTTCCTCATCACTTGCCAACAAGCTTCAGCTGTTGGAGAAAAGCTCTTTCTGCTCCTTCCTTAAAGTCTGGACAATGAGAGACAAAGCATCTCTCTCCATCTCTTCTCTCTGCTGATTGCAGAGTTACTCCTCCGGGTTCAGACCGGGCTTCCTTCCCCAGCTCCATCTCCAGCTCATGGTCACGGATTCTGCACTGGGCAAAGGCCTGCACTGGCTTTATAAACACCCTACAGCAAACAGCACATAACTCATTTTGTCTGCCTCGGGAAGCTGAGTGTCTTCACCCCAAATCCAGACCCTATTACTCCTCTGAGACTGTGTACCCAAACCCCAAGACTCGGGCTCGTAACCAGCCCCTTGCTGGCCATCATGAGCTGATATGTAAGTGATACCGGGTGCAGCTACAAAAGTACTTAATGATATTGTGCTGTGTTTGGTGAATGAAGCCATCAAATACAGACAAAGAAAGAAGAAAAGAAGGCAGGGATTCAGATTTTCCTTAAATGTGGCTTTCAGCTTCTATTTGTTTCAAAATGAACCAATCCAAAGAGAGGGGAAGGCAAAAAAATGATTCAATTCTTAGAAGCAGGCCCTGGAAACACTTTCCAGAGCGAGGGAACGGAGCAGCATGTGGATTGCCTTCAGAAGTTCACAGCGCTGTGATCAGCTCCAGCTCCCCACCCCACATCTGTCAACAGATAAGCCCCTCGCTGTTCCTCTTAACAGAGGAAAAACACTTGGATGAACCACACGCTGCCCTAGTCTGCGCTGAGCCATCCCGAGTGAGCTGAACAAGCTCCCTGCGACTCCTCCAGCCAGCCCAGCCTTCAGGAGTTAACGCTCATCTGGACCCAAGGCTGCTGGGTCCAAGGAGCACAGGGATGAGCAGAGCAGGAGGGGGAAGTGTACAAATACGCCCATCCAATTAGTTATCGCCTTGTTGGAAACATCTGGTTTCTTCTGTCTTGCTCCCATGATGGATGGCAGAAACCATCAGCCATCGCATCCCACCGCTCTCCCCGCGTGCCATTCCCCTGCAGCCTGCTGGGTTTCCAGCCTAGCTCCTGACAGCAGCTGCTCTTTGCCCCCCCCCCCCCCCCCCCCAAGGCTACAATGAGCCTCCAAAGTCCCACAGTGCTTAAATAAACCACACCCCGGCATCCCAGCCATGCAAATATCCCAACCCATGGTTGAATCCTTCAGCATCACAACAGATGCAGGGTGGGAATCATAGAGTCACAGAGTGCTATGTGACAAAAGGAACCTTAAAACTCATCCAGTTCCAACCTCTGCCACCGCAGGGACCCCTTCCACTGGAGCAGCTTGCTCCAAGCCCCTGTGTCCAACTCGGCCTTGAACACTGCCAGGGATGGGGCAGCCACAGCTTCTCTGGGCACCCTGTGCCAGCGCCTCAGCACCCTCACAGGGAAGAGCTTCTGCCTAAGAGCTCATCTCAGTCTCCCCTCTGGCAGGTTAAAGCCATTCCCCTTGGCCTGGCCCTACATCCCTTGTCCCAAGCCCCTCTCCAGCTTTCCTGCAGCCCCTTTAGGCACTGGAGCTGCCCTAAGGTCTTCCCTTAAGAAACCTTCTCCTCTCCAGGCTGAACCAGCCCAGCTCTCTCAGCCTGTCAAAGACCTACATTTCCTGAGACACAAAGTCCACGTAGCTCACGCACTCTCCTGAGCAGTTATTTCTACCACCAAATACACCACAGACCTTCCCACCAACTTCTCCCACCCTGAGCCACATTTCCCAGGTGGCTGCCTTCCGTTCACTCGGATCATATCAGGTTTTGGGTTATGACGTTCACAGACTGAAACCCAGTTAATTACACCTAAATGCCACGTCAAACACTGATGGAATGCATCACAACATCCAGCTTCCATGAAAAAGTGCATAGCCACCTTCATTGAAAAGCCTACAATCAAGATGAGAGCCCTGCTGCAATGCCAGTTCTAGGCTGTAACACAGGAGGCTGAGCAGGAGCGGGAAGATTCCACCCAGAAATCAAACAAACTAACCTGAAAAAGCTGATTTTGAAGTCCTATATTTCAAGAATATAAGACTCTTTAGAGGTATCTATATCCTATAAATACACAGGATATCTTCCATCTATCCAGCACCCAGCGGGTGCTTTCCAACTCTTCCACCACAGACACCACTCCACACAGCATTTACCTTTTAGATTTCATTTGCTCTCGCAGTTTGCTGTACATCTCCAGGACTGGAACGAGAAGGAAAAAACACACACGCGTTGAGACACAAGCACAGGGATGTGAATTACTGACGAAAATGAAGAGCAACTTGAGATTCCTCACCGGGAAGACACAGCGTGAGCTTATCAACCGTCGCTGAAATATTCCGCTGCTGTAACCGGCATTGCTTCAGCTCTTCCATTGCTACGATCAACTTGGGGAAGGGAAAAAGAGACAAGTTTCACTTAGAGCAGTGAAGAGATGGAGGAGAGAGGATATAAACTGCACTTGTCCCAGCCATACGCCATAGGTTGATAAAAAACCCCACTGTGATAACCGGGCGCTCAGCGAGGCTGCAGAGCGCTACTGGAATAGGAGCCGAGGCTCAACAAGTACCAGCAGCATTCCCTTCGTTTCAAGCAAGCAAGAAGCAAAACCAAAGGCAACAAAATACCAGCCTCATAGCACATCCTCTGGATTCCAAAAACTTATTTCCCCTTCCCATTTTATTCATCTCTTCCCTACTCCCTCTCCACGCTTCTCTTTTCTAGTTCTTCCCAAAGACAGGATGTGGCGACACGCTCCCAAGGGGCTTCTGACCATCCCAAACTAACATGGATTTTTTAAATGCTCAGCCTCCAACAGAAAAACCTGTGCGTGTGGGCAAGGACAAACATGGAGCAGCCACTGCATACAACAAAAAACACTCTACTTTCTTCTTTTCAAAGGGACAAGTCATGGATTTGTCCTCCAGAGCATCCTTTTATCTCCCAAGTACCAGGCTGAGATTGAAAGTCCTTCTGAAATCCCAGGCTCTTGTACTCTTGGAGGTGAATCCTCCATTCAAGGAGGTAAGTTTATTTGATTCAGGATTGAAACTGCATCACCTCCTCCCCAAAGGGCATTCTTGTCTTTAATCTTCATTAGAATAATTGCTCTGATGCAGTCCAGGATGGGGATTTTCTTGTTTGCTTTTCAAATCAAGGCAGCTGCCTGCATGTGCCAGGAGCAAAACCAAGTCAGGGTGTCTGGGAAAGCAGCGAGGAAATGAAACAGAAAAGCTGCAGGAAGAAGAACTTTGTATAGTAAATGATGCAATTCTCAGGAGGAATGCAAAAGACAGGAGAAGGGCCATCCCTGGGAGTCCTCACACATCTCTGTCTTAAGCACTTGGAAAACCTGAAGCATCACTGCCTTAAGCACACTCAGCTCTAAAGTGCCCCCAGTCCGTTCATGCTCTCTTATGATGAAGGGGCAGAAGAATGAATGTAGACAAAGGCACAGGGCATCCACAAGATGCTCAATCATTTCCTTTCCCCATGCCTCGATGCCTCTGTTCATGCAGTTAAAAGCCACCCTGACTTTAATTGCTGCTGCACTGCTTTGGGAAGCAGGAGCCAGGCTCTCCAGCTCATATGCACAGAAACAGAGTGGTTTGGGCAGGAAGGGACCTTCTTCTGAAGATCTTACCTCAGTCTCCCCTCTGGCAGGTTCAAGCCATTCCCCTTGGCCTGGCCCTACAGGCCCTTGTCCCAAGCCCCTCTCCAGCTTTCCTGCAGCCCCTTTAGGCACTGGAGCTGCTCTCAGGTCTCCCTTTCAGGAGCCTTCTCTTGTCCAGGCTGCCCCAGCCCAGCTCTCTCAGCCTGGCTCCAGAGCAGAGCTGCTCCAGCCCTCGCAGCATCTCCATGGCCTCCTCTGGCCTCGCTCCAACAGCTCCACATCCCTCTGGTGTTGTTGCCCCAGAGCTGGATCAGGACTGCGGGTGGGGAAGAATCCCCTCGACCTGCTGGCCACGCTTCCTTGGACGCTATGAGCAATCCCAATGACACCCCCCAGGGCTGCAGGATCAAGCCCACAATATAGGATTACTGTTGCTTTACATTCCCCCTGCTTCCCAGGCTGTGCCTTCCACTAAGCTTGCAATCCAGAAGCAGTAAAAGGGAAAAATCGCTTCCCAGCACTCCGACACAACTCAACTTTCAGGCAGCAAAGCAAAATACAGTAAAGAGAATCAATGCACGTTTTAATACCAGTGCCACCTACGTTATCAGTTAGTGCTGAGCACTTACGGAGACTGTCATTTCCCACTAACAAGCACAGCCAGATAACGGAAAAGCAAAAACCAGACAGAATGAATGACTGAACTTACTTCTTTTCCTTCGTTCTGCAGCTTCCTGTTGGTGTCTGTCACTTGATTCTGCGGGAATATCAGGGGAAAAAGACAGAGCACATCTGCATGAAAATCAGGACCATGTTCTTCACAAATAAACTGTACATAAACAGCATCACTTTTCACACAGTCTTCTTTTGTATGGCATAAAAGTATTCTTTAGCCAAATTTAACAGTCATGGCCATTCTGGCACACAAGGGTGCCAGCAGCCACACAGCAAATACCATGGATTTTCTTCCCTGCCACTAGAGAAAGTTAAAAGGCAACAGAGGTTCATGGTGTTGCACATGAGCCTCAAAATGCTGTAGTCTTAATGGATCCAATCCTGTAGCAGATGTTCATGTGGGTTCTCATAGAAACCCAGACTGGTTTGGAAGGGACCTTAAAGCTCCTCCAGTTCCACCCCCTTGCACAGGCAGGGACCCCTTCCACTAGAGCAGCTTGCTCCAAGCCCCTGGGTCCAACCTGGCCTTGAACACTGCTGGGGATGGGGCATCACTTTAAAAGCTGTTTTACCTGAGTGGTAAAGGAGTTATATTTCCCCCTCCTCAACATCAAATACGTGTCAATTGGGTTTTAACTCCCTGTTATCACAGCAAGAAAAGAATTCTTCAATGTGGGCTTCATCTATAAAGTTCATGTATTTTCCTTTAGATCTTCAGATGCATTTCCCACTGGATCCCTCCTCCTGGCTGGTACAAAAAGGTTACTTTTATGCAGCCAATATAAAAAAATGGCTTTGAATTCTTTACTAAAGCATCTTCCTGTATTATCCCATCAAGCTGGGGCTCACAGTTCAATAACTTCCCAGTCTGCAAACCTGGAGGTTCCCTGGACTAGCAAGATCGCAGCAGTTGACCCCTTTGTGGCTCCAGACATCAGTCTGACTCAATGAAGACTCACACGAGAACAAAGGTCATTTTAGCCTCCTCAGGATACAAAATAAGCACCTTACACGTCATTTAGACAACAAACAGAAAGATGACTTTGGGTTTTCTGCTGAATCCTCATTCATGTTCAGACAGGAGAACAGAGAACAGAGAACAGAGACAGCATCTTCTACAGCCCAGCTGGGATAGCCACAGAAGATTACACAAGCTTCCAAGTAAACATGCCCACATTAAGGACCACAGCAAGAGCAGCCAGTTGTGAAGGTAAACACCAGCAGAGTTCAGGTGCCTCCCTCAGTTCAAGGCTAACATGCCATGAAACTCCTTTCTTAACATAGAATACTTATTGTCACAGCTACTCAAGTTGTATATAGTCATTTCCAGGCTTGTCTCTGTAAGACCGTAGAATCATAGAATAGTTAGGGTTGGAAAGGACCTTAAGATCATCCAGTTCCAACCCCCCTGCCATGGGCAGGGACACCTCACACTAAACCATGGCACCCAAGGCTCTGTCCAACCTGGTCTTGAACACCACCAGGGATGGAGCATTCACAACCTCCCTGGGCAACCCATTCCAGTGCCTCACCACCCTCACAGGAAAGAGCTTCTTCCTTAGATCCAATCTAAACTTCGCCTGTTTCAGTTTGAACCCCCAACGCAATGTGGAGGGTACGTGGAGCAGAGCAACAGCTGAGCAAAGCAGGACAAGCTTCAGGGCAGACTGAGATGAAAACAGCTCTCTCTTTCCTTTTGGAGCACACCACAAAGCAAGCAGCTGAGATAGAAAGGGAGCCTGGTATTTACATATAAGACTTCACAGGTTTGAGAGCTGAGCCCATGTGAACCTCATGAAGTTCAACAAGGCCAAATGCAAGGTCCTGCACGTGCTTTGGGGCAACCCCAAGCACAAATACAGGGTGAAGGAGATGGGACGGAGCAGCCCTGAGGAGAAGCTCCCCATGACTGGGCTTCAGCGTGTGCTTGAGCCCAGAGAAGCTGTGGCTGCCCATCCCTGGCAAGCTGCTCTAGTGGAAGGCGTCCCTGCCCGTGGCAGGGGTTGGGACTGGATGAGCTTTAAGGTCCCTTCCAATCCAAATCAGTCTGGGATTAAACTGATTGAGGATCCAACTTGCTCCCTACTGACTACTGAAAGAAACTGGGCCACACTGATTTCCCACACTGGTCTGAACTGCAACATGAGGTCTCACACTGAAATGTTTGTGTAGCTCCAACAAGCAGAGCCATCCAGCCTCACAGGCTTCCTTTGGTTTTAACACTGGCCATGCTGCTTTTTAAGCTTACCATGCTGCAAAGAAGAGGAGTCATCCCATGATCTCCCCCTCTCGCAGTTTCTCAACAGCATCTGCATCACATTGCTCCCTCTTCAGCAGTAGCTTCAGCTTTCCTGGCTGATTGCCCTGTGCAAAAACTGCTCATTTCCTTTATGATGCATTGAGCTTTTACAAGCAGGAGCCCAGCATCTCTTCCAAGGATTATTTTATTTGCTTCTATCCTGAAAATCCCACCAGGAAAAAGGAATCTGTGTAGGCTAATTTAAAACTGCTCCTAAAATAATGCCAGGGCTGTAGTAGTCTTCTATTAAAATTACATATCAATCCCACTTAAAGCAAGGAGTAAGGATATATTCTGCCCTTGCACACTAGGAGTTTTCAGGGGGCAGGGAGTTGTGTTTTGGTTTGGTCTAAGGCCTACATGTATATATTGTAATAAAATAGATGATTATTTGTATAGACTCTCTGTAGACACGCTGAAGCTTTTCAGACAAGGAGGGTTTATAATCTAAGACAGACGCACAGCAAGGGGGGACAGACAACAGGTGAGCACATGTGAGGTACGAGACACTGGGATCACACAGGGGCTTAAAGGATGCTCAAGTCGTTAGTTCATTCATCTGCGTATGGAACATGTGCTATGGAGCAGGAACATCACTCTGCTACCATTTAGAGAGTGTCAGAGTGATGAGAGAGAGAAGCAAAGGGAGCTGGAGAGGAATCCTGGGAATGGAGCTGAAGGACACCACCATGACCCTGGTGCTGACTCCATCCCTCTGTCTGAAACCCATCTAGTGCTGATTCTGCCAAGGGTGGGATGTTTGCCTCCCTGGCTATACTATACTGAGGATGAAGAGCACAGCAGCTCCTTCCTAAATCCTTTATACATGTGATGGAGCACATCTAAAACAACCCGACAAGAATTTAGGCTGCAGATTCCCTTAGTCACGTACTGTGAATTTAAGGACAGCTCCTGCTCTTACTGCAGTGCAGATGTCATTAAGGTTATAAACGACATAATAAGGTTATAAATGTTCCTAGGATGTTGTTGAGGTATCCGACTGTAGATGTTCAATACCTTAAGGAGGCCTATAAAAAGCTGAAGAGGGTCTTACTACAGGGGTGTACAGGTGTAGAACAAAGGGGAATGAGCTTAATCTGAGAGAGGGCAGATTTAGATTAGTTATAAGGAAGAAATGGAACAGGGTGCCCAGAGAAGCTGTGGCTGCCCCATCCTTGGCAGTGTTCAAGGCCAGGTTGGACACAGGGGCTTGGAGCAAGCTGCTCTAATGGAAGGGGTCCCTGCCCGTGGCAGGGGTTGGGACTGGATGAGCTTTAAGAGCCCTTCCAACACAAACCAGGCTGGGATTCTAAGAAATATCATCCAAATTAAGGAGGTGCCTCTTTGAGAGCCTATCTGGCGCATTTGCAATTCATTTCTTTTTCATCCACAGACAGGTTATTAACCAGTGCCCCAGCATCCCTTGAAAACAACACACTGCTGTGCAGTGCAGCGATTCATTGCAAGGAGCTCCTCTGCTGATCAAGAGCATAAAGTTCCCAATTCAATGTTACCCCTTCACAGGGCACAAAAGCAGGACAGAAAGTTTAGCAACACAGCTCTGAGTAGATTTTAATCACAGAATCAGTCATAGAATGCCAGGTTGGAATGACCCCAGGGATCATCTGGTCCAACCTTTCCAGGCACAGCATGGCCTAGACTGGATGTCCCAGCACCCTGTGCAGCCCAATCTAACAGCGTCCAACACTGGGGAGTCACCGCTTCCCTGGGGAGATTATTCCAATGGCTGCTTGCTCTCAGTGTGAAACCTTTTCCTCTTGTGCCCAGTTGGAATCTCCCCAGCAGTAACTTGTGCCCATCACCCCTCATCTTTCCCATGGGACTCCTCACCAAAAGGGAGTCCCCGCTGTCTTTGTAGCCACCTTTTAAATATAGGAACACGGTGACAAGGTCTCCCTGAGCCTTCTTTTCTCAAGGTTTTAGTTCACTTGGAGCCACCTGAAACCCATCACTCCTGCACAGAGGGCAGCTGTGTTACCCGTGAATGGCAGAAGACAAAGCACCCAGCTCACATTTACCACGTGCACTCATCAAACAATGAACACTGATATTTCTACAGCCTGATATTACAGGCAATGCCCCAAAGCTAAAAGCACAGGACTGAAGATACACACTGGAGATGCAACAGGGAGGGCATTTATTTTACTGCTGGTTGCACGTATGTTCAAAGACCAGCGCTACTGCGAGAAAGACCCAGATCAAACAGAGCATGAATAGCTGGAACAAAACCCACTCTCACCACTGCACCCAGGGATGATTCCCTGAGGAAACCCTTACAAAGAAGGCTCAGGATTTGGGAAATATGTTTCTGTGTATGTTTTCCCCATGTGCTGTTTTATAGATCGTATAGTAATAGAAATCAAGAGAGATCCTGAGGGTACAGAGATGGACTTCACAGTGCACCACCAACAAAGTAGCTGTTTGGAGAATGGGAAACAGCAACAAGCCTCTGCAAACAAACAATGTGGAATTCTTGGCTAGGAACAATAGCTTAAAAATAAATAAATAAAGGCTTTTTGATGGTATTTTCAATGGCCTCATCCTACAGTCGACCGCTGGATGAATCCTTGCCATGGAAAATGCCACTGTCATAACACGGGTGCTTCTGGTGTCAGGATATCCCCCCAGGAAGGTTCTTCTGTGAGCATGTGGCTGGCTGTGGGATGGAGAGCTCTGTGTGTAAAGCCAAAAGCCTGCTTGGAAATGCCAGAGACAGCTTGAAGTGAATAAATACACGCATGAAAAGCAGCAGTCGGCACACTGAGGTTGGAGTTTCTTTGCCTGAAAACAAGCCCTCTGCTCCACCAGGACCACATCTGGATGGCTTTCTCTTACCTTCAGTTTCTGAGCCTCTCCTCTAACCTTCAGCAGCTCTGTGATGGAGTCCACAAAGCCCTGGTAATGGAAGTTGCACATCTTCTCAATCTCACGATCGTGGTTCCTGATCCGTGCCTCCAGCTTCTCCATAAAGCGACCGTGTTCCTCTCCATCATAGACAGACCTAAAGAGAAGGCGACAATGATGGGTCAATGTTGCAATATTTGTTAGTCATTGCTCACACAATGAGCTTCAGAAAATCTCCTGTGATAAAGGGATAGTTCTGCTGTTTATTCACACACACAAGGCACCAAACTCACGGTTGAGTATCTTCCTATTCCAGCCCTTCTTTTTCCACCTGCCAAACACCAGCTTCGTGTTCCCTCAGAGACCCCAACACGGCCAACCCAGCACCAAATGATCTAAAACAAAGTCTTTGTGCTCTGTCTTTGAGCTCAGCCACCTCTGGTCACAATTTGCTACCATATGCTACAATGCAGAGTGCTCCTCCTGGATGTTCTTTAGCCCTCAAGAGTAAAAGCTATAATGGAAAAGTATCAGGTTTACAGCTACCAAAACCCATTCCCCTTCCCACTCCCAATATTGACGGCACAGTTCCCAATGTTGACAGCACAGTTAGCTCTTCGGCTGCAAGACCAACACAGCCACAGTTGAACTAGAAGCAGCAAAAGGGTTCTTGGGGTCACTGCCTGCTGAAAGCAGAGCCTAAAACACATAAGGGCAGAGGAAAGGTCAACACTGCTCTTGAGTGAGATGTGCAAGGCAGCAATTCCTGCAGCTGAAACAGCACCCAGCTGCTGGAGAAGAGAAGGCTTATGAAGGGGAGACCTGAGAGCAGCTCCAGGGGCTGCAGGAAAGCTGGAGAGGGGCTTGGGACAAGGGCCTGTAGGGACAGGACAAGGGGAATGGCTTGAACCTGCCAGAGGGGAGACTGAGATGAGCTCTTAGGCAGAAGCTCTTCCCTGGGAGGGTGCTGAGGCGCTGGCACAGGGTGCCCAGAGAAGCTGTGGCTGCCCCATCCCTGGCAGTGTCCAACCCAAACCACTAAGATTCTATGATACATTAAATCCTTCTGACTGCAGAAAGTGATGTGATCCTTTGGAGCGATCTGTGCTCACAAGTCACTTCGGAGGATCCCACCTCTGCAACTCACAAAGGTCTCTTAGTAATAAAAATACCCTGACAGGGCTAAAAGCTGGGGGAAAAAAAACACTTAAATATCACCCTTTAATACCTGCCTTCACAATTTCAGTTGCACAATTTCAGTTGCACAGTTTCAGTAAGCTCTCTCAACAGCAAAACAAAAATGCCCAAACTTTATGAACCTGCTTAAAACTCAATGTAAAATAACAGTCACCAAGATTAGAAGCCTGCAAAGTTGACCCTATTCCCTTCTTTATTCCAAGACAGAAGCCGGTTGGTGCTAAAGGTGAAAGGGATAGAACCTCCTGAAACCTCATGGATATTCGTGGCTGCTCCTTACAGCTTAACGGAGTTCTGTTGGCAGAACAGGGATGCTGGAGGCAGAGTGCCATCTAGTGCTCTTTGCGTTTACAGAAGCATCTATCAAGGGCGAAAATGAAACACACAATTAGTCACAACTCCGGGCAAAGTTTCCTCTGGAGGTGGCCACAGTGAGACATAAAGGTCTGGTGACTGAAAACCTTCTATTGCATTTTTATTTAGCCAAACTGGAGGGTAAAGCAAAAAGAGCAGGTGACAGGAAGCAATGAAACCCCAGCATCTCAGGGGTCAGCTCTAAGCTTGGATTTGAACAAACTCTGTACCATAGAATCCCAGCCTGGTTCAGGATGGAAGTGACCTTAGAGCTCCTCCAGTTCCAAGCCCCTGCCACGGGCAGGGACCCCTTCCACTAGAGCAGCTTGCTCCAAGCCCCTGTGTCCAACCTGGCCTTGAACACTGCCAGGGATGGGGCAGCCACAGCTTCTCTGGGCACCCTGTGCCAGCGCCTCAGCACCCTCATCTTCCCCATTGAGCTCTCCTGTTCGTCCACAACCCTCCCTCCACAGGAGAACGAGCATCCTTCACTTCTGCCCTCCCTATAAAACACATGCAAGTGGGCAACAGCCCAGCCCATCCTAAACCAAACTGCAGTACACTCCAAAGCTGAAGGATGGCAACTCCAAAGTAAGGGGATGTCAAGTTCTTACTCCGTATTGAACACCATCATAAGTGGTTTACAATAAGTGTGCAGGACTCTGATTGCAAGAACAAATCTCACCCCTGCAACCACATCAAGACCCAAGTCCCAAAGTCCACCATCGTCACCTTCAGTTCCCTGGCTCTGGTAGGCATCCAACTTCCTGAGCTGCTGCTTCAGCTGCCCAAGCTGCAGACCATCCCTGTGATGCCATACCCTTGATGTAAGTGTGCTGTTACCTACCTAGTTACAGCCAGCTTTCTCAAGCCCAGCTCTGGTTCTCACCTGATGCACTCAACTGAGCACCTTCATTACATCCTTCACATTACCCCATCTGGGACATCACACTTCCCACTTCTTCCCTACCAAGCCTTCAGGATTGCCACTGCCTTGCTCCGGGTCTCCAGGTCTCTTCAGCTGCTCCCCTCCACCTCATTTCTTCTGCACATACACCCTGCTCTTAGTAACATCTCTCCTATTTCAAACACTGATTACAGCCCAATCTGCATCTTCCATACCTGTCCTGAAGCGACTTGATCAGACACTACAAGATGATGCAAAAGCATTTCTAGAAAGAAATGAATCTTAGACATAGATTAATGGCCATTAATAGTCACAACAGCACACAATGAACACATAAAGGAAGGAAAACAAAAATCACAATTAGAAGTGGTTTGGCCTATTCAGGCTCTTGGCTGTAAATAACAAAGCACTGGGACAATGCTATAGAAAATGATCCTTGAGGCAGCTTCTCTTCTGCCTTTGCTATAAAACATTGCTTGTCAGATAGCTTTAGTAATAGCCTCCCCCACAAAAAGCCTTCTGATTGAAACAGGCTGAGGAGGAGTGGTGTGTCCTGCATGTACTTATCTTATAGCTCTGTAGGCTGTAACTCCGGGCTTGAAAACTTCGCTCAGTGCCACACCGGTCTGGTTTACATTTCTGAAGCACACTCGCTAAACAAAACCATTGAGGATGCCTTGGAAAAGTTCTTGGATTGCATCGTTCGGTTCCACAGCCTCTGCAGGCACTAAAAATCCACTCCGGGTTTGATTCCAAAAGGTCAACTGGAAAAATCTTTCCAGGAAAGCCAAAGGAGGCGAACGCATCAGGAGTTCCCATCTGCGCCTTGTGTCGTTGCAAAGTGCAGTCCCCAAAATAGGGGCAACCAAACCTGGCCCATGTCAAGCAGCCAAAGCATTAACTAAAGGGGATGCTGCAGATGTGGATGTGTGGCACAGCTGGATGCTCTGGTGCCTTTTCCATTTCCCAAGCAGCAGCCCATGCAGAAGAACATCATGATGGAGAACCATTCACACCTTCATCCTCTCCCTACACTGCAAAGCCTCACTGTGCTGTACTCAGCCACGTTGAGCTGGATACTCCAATGCATTCTCCATCACTTAAACACCCATAAGAGCAAAAACTGGGGGAAAAGCAGAGGTCAACCACTCTTCAGGTGTTCCACGTGGCTGTTCTCAGACTGGCAGGTCCTATACCAGATACCATCTACTGCATCCATACACCATATCCACATAGTGTTGCAACAAGTCCAGAGGAGGCCACGGAGATGCTGCGAGGGCTGGAGCAGCTCTGCTCTGGAGCCAGGCTGAGAGAGCTGGGCTGGGGCAGCCTGGACAAGAGAAGGCTCCTGAAGGGGAGACCTGAGAGCAGCTCCAGTGCCTGAAGGGGCTGCAGGAAAGCTGGAGAGGGGCTTGGGACAAGGGCCTGTAGGGACAGGCCAAGGGGAATGGCTTGAACCTGCCCGAGGGGAGACTGAGATGAGCTCTGAGGCAGAAGCTCTTCCCTGGGAGGGTGCTGAGGTGCTGGCACAGGGTGCCCAGAGAAGCTGTGGCTGCCCCATCCCTGGCAGTGTTCAAGGCCAGGTTGGACACAGGGGCTTGGAGCAAGCTGCTCCAGTGGAAGGGGGCCCTGCCTGTGGCAGGGGTTGGAGCTGGAGGAGCTTGAAAGTCTTTTCCATCCCAAACCAGCCTGGGATTCTATGACATAAATGCTGAAAACACATCAGAGGAGCTTAGATGCACTGCAGACATCTAAATTAACGCTAGCAAACACTGAGGAGCTCTTTGTGCATGCGCTCACTGTGTCCCATCCTCAACCGGTTAACACGAGCCCTCTGTCAGCCTCGAGGGAGGCCAAGCCACGTGTCTGACCCCACAACCTGACCCCCAAGGCGAGCTGCCTGCAGGCTGGGCACTCGGGAATCACCTAACTCAATCCAGCGGGAAGCAGAGAGGAGGGAATGCTCTGGGAGGCGAAATGAAAGCGATCTGGAACAATGCAGGAGGACATTCTGGGGACACTGGAACAGAAGGGACGTGCTCCTGGTTTCAATTAATCAGTGGAACAAATTCCTGACTCTGTTATGGACTTGTATTTCCTTTTTTCTACACCCCCCCCTTTAAACTTCTGTAGTGGTTTTAATGCCTCAGAAACATTTTCTTCTCATTAAGCTACATAAAAGCATTAGCAGTTTGTTTAATCTTCTTCTGACTTTTGTAATCAACAAATTAACTCCCGAGCAACGCAAGCAAAAGACACATAGAATAATCCAAGAGTGGTGCGAGAGCTCCATGGAGAAAAGGGCAAAGCAAGCTGGCATAGACGGGTACCTGCTTACCATCCAACGGCCAGAGCAAAGAGCTTCCAGCCTTGGCTTCACCAAGGCCACCTGTGTACACAGGGTGTTAGCAAGCTGGACTCCAAAGACACCCCATTTACTGGCTGGGTTACACCTGGACTTATCTCAGTGGAAGAGCAAGTGTAGAACGTGCTCTTTGCTTTCGTTATGGTAAACAGGTGTGAGTCCATTCAGCTTTGTCCCATCTCCCACATGGTGATGATATCTACAGCAGAAAGATGGAGAAAAACAAGCAACTTTTTTTTCCATTTTGGACAACTATAAAACATTGACTCCTGATTATTTTCATTACTTTACTTCAGAAAGCATTCCCATGGGTGCTTTTCATAGCATCCCAGCC